ATCTTGCTGAAGAAATGACTTCTATCTGGACAAAATAAAGGCAGGTTGAGTTCAGTTTGAATTGCAACTGTTGAGAGTTCTCTCTTAAATCTGCTCTTAGCTATTTATTGACTTTAGTGATCGTATACATGCCCTCTCCTGTAATAGGTGACAGCTTCTGACCCAGGCATGATCCTCTACAGAGTAGTTCGTTTTGGGTACATTTTAGGAGGTAGAGACAATAAAAATGCTAGGAAAATAATACCAACCTGATTTTTAACCAGGGGAACAAGATCTTCAGGGATGTCACCCAGGGGATAGGCACGTCCTGCTAGACTACAGCTATTTGAGAATAGAAAGAATGAGAACAGATTTGGTGACAAGTGAGTAACACACTATTCTTCAAACTTGAGAAACTAGTTTGATTTTTAAGCCGACTCAGCTTCTGTCACTTAGGTAAGTTCCAAACCAGATCAAGATGACAACCAGTTCAAAAAATGTGGACAAGAGAAATGGTGGTAAAGTATCATGTCTTGTGACTGAGTAGGGGCTTTCATTTTTTTATGCTTCCTTAGAAAAACCCATGCTGCCTTAAAGGGGCAGGAAGGACAGACTAAAGGTCTCATACCTAGCACTAGAAAGAAACTAATGGCAACATGAAACTATGATTTACTTGTTAAAAGCCTGATGTTCTCAGTTACTTTTGTTTTCTCTTTTCAGGGACTCTGTCACCCAAGTTAGACTGCAGCAATGTCACTTTAGCTCACTGTAATCTCAAACTCCTGGGCTCAAGCAATCCTACAGGTGCCTGGCTGGTTTTTCTATTTCAGTTACTTTTAAACCAGTAGCTCTCAGGATAGTGATTAAAGATGGGGAAAGAGCCAGGCTAGTAAACATCTGCAAAATGTCTTCAAAAGGATAAGCCTTCATGGACAGTTAGAATCTGAAGAGAAATTCACCCTGCAGTTTTACTTCCAAATCAGACCTTCTTTAGGGCTAAAGGCTTGCCTTCTGCACTGAATTTTATGAACATATTCTAAACATTTACTTATTCAACATACTCATCTCTTCTGAATATGTCTTCTTTTTTTCTATTTTTTTGAGGGGGCTTAACTGTAAGCCTTTTTGAACTGTCATTGGGTGTTAGATTAGAGACAATTGGACACCAGCGTATTCTGGAGTTCAAAGTAAAGATGATAAAGCATTAGGTAAATGCTACATACATTTTCCTACACTAAATAACCAAGGTGCCAAGTTGATTATTAACTCTCAAAGTTGACTGATGCTAAACAGAAGCTAAAATGATGTTCTGGCAAGTTCTGTCATCTTCCTACCTTCTTGCCAACCAACCATCTATCTAAAAGTTCTATCAGGACTTAATTCTGAGCCTGCATACTCTATCAGAATGGAGTCTGGTCCAGGAGTCAGGAGATAAACATTCCAATTTTATCTCTGTCACTAACTTTTTTTGTGATTTAAACAAATCTCTTGCTCTTATAGATAAAATAGACATTACACATACGCCACAGAGTTGTCAGCAGTAAAAGTGAAATACATTAGGGCTCCTCACCCTCAGCCCTACTGATGTGGTAGGCCAGATAGTTCTTTGCTGCGGGGCCTAATCTACTCATTGCAGGGTGCTCAGCATCATCTTTCACCTCTACCCAAGACATAACAGCAGCACCCCTACTCTATCCCAGCTGTAACAACCAAAAATGGCTCTGGACATTATGAAAAATCTCCAAGGAGAAGGAGACAAAATCACCTATGGCTGAGAATCACTGCTCTACGTAAAATTACTCTGAAAAATTAAAAGCACTATATAGATAACAGTATCTAAAAATGTAAGGGAAAAATACAGAGGGAACATACACATAGACAAATGATGAATACATTTTACCTGATATATACAAGAAGCTTGTTTCCCATAACAACTTGTTCATCTAAAATAGAAAGAAAAGTATCTTCAGTAATTATTTCAAAATCTTTTCAAAAATATAGTATTTATATGGAATCAAAAAATAAAATGTCATTTAAAGTGAGATAAAAACATTCTCAAATAACAGAAAATTGAGATAAGACCACTTTATTACTTTTTGAATTTCCATTAAATTTTTTTCACAGAAACGAAAGCAATCTAAGTCATTAAAGGATTTATGATGGAACAGATCTGACAGGGATCTATGAATTGTTGGCCTATGCACTAACTGAGGACCAGTGGAAGGCATACAGTAGGCAATGAATTGATGAATTGTAGACTACAACCAATTAATTAAAATGAAGCCATAACTCATTTGTAACCTGGATTTTTACCACCCACAGTGCTCTACAGCTGAGAAGGCCACTGTTCCCAAATATCTAAAGTAACAGACCTGGACTAAATGATGTTTAAGGCCCTTTCTATTCTAAGTTATGTAAAAAACATAAAGTTACAATAATCGAGACAGCATATTATTGGCAATAAGGATAGACATATTGATCAATGTAAGAGAAGCAGAGAAACAGATTCATACTTATGTGTTTGGCCAACTGACTTTTGACAAAGGTGTCAAAATAGTTCAACAAAGATAAACAATATATTCTTATTAACAAGTGGTACAGGAATAGGAACTCTTATGAGAATAACTGGAAGCTGCATAGAAAGAAAATCCTTGAACTTGACCTTGTCATATACAAAAATTAACTCAAGATGAATTATAGTCCTAAATACAAGTGATAAAACTATTAAATTTCTTGAAGAAAATATGTCTTTATGACGCTGAATTGGACAATGATTTTTAAAACAGAACCCCAAAAGACGACACTACAAAAAAATGATAATAATAAGATGGACTTCACAAAGATTAAAAACTTTTTGTCTTTGAAAAACATGGTTTAAGCCAATATATAAACAACTACAAGCCCACATGAAAGAAAAACACGGGTCTAGTGAGGAGGAGGAGGGAGAGTAATTGGTGGGATCTCACATAATGTGCATAATGTGAGGGTGTTCAGCATACCCCCTGGTTGAAGGGCTCGACTACAACTTGAACGTAGAAACGAAAACAACATAAGCTAAATATTTGAACCCTCATATCATTTATGAGAAACTTAAAAAAAAAACACGGTTAAGAAAACTAAAAAGCAAACTACGGACTAGAAGAAAATTTTTGCAAAATATATATTGAAGAAGGTGCTTGCATCCAGATTACATTAAAAACTTTTAGGCTCTGCTGACCAATTGCAGGGGCTCATGCCTGTAATCTTAGCACTCTGGGAGGCCGAGGTAGGTGGACTATTTGAACTCAGGAGTTTGGAGACTAGCCTGAGCAAGAGTGAGACCCTCATACTTTCAAGACTTGGAAAAAATGATTCTGTGTTTCATATGGAACTAGAAAAAAACCCGTATAGCTAAGGCAGTTCTTAGTAATAAAAACAAAGCTGGGGGCATCAGCGTACCAGACTTTAGGCTGTACTACAAGGCTGTAGTGGTCAAGACAGCATGGTACTGGCACAAGAATAGAGATACAGACATTTGGAATCAAATAGAAAACCAGGAAATGAAACTAACATCTTAAAACCACCTAATCTTCGATAAACCAAACAAGAACATACACTGGGGGAAAGACTCCCTATTCAACAAATGGTACTGGGAGAACTGGATATCCACATGTAAAAGACTGAAACTGGACTCACACATTTCTCCACTCACAAAAATTGATTCAAGATGGATAAAGGACTTAAATTTAAGGCATGAAACAATAAAAATCCTCAAAGAAAGCATAGGAAAAACACTGGAAGATATCGGCCTGGGGAAAGACTTCATGAAGAAGACTGCCATGGCAATTGCAACAACAACAAAAATAAACAAGTGGGACTTAATTAAACTGAAAAGCTTCTGTACAGCTAAGGAGACAACCACCAAAGCAAATAGACAACCTACACAATGGGAAGGTTATTTGCATATTTTGAATCAGACAAAAGCTTAATAACTAGGATCTATAGAGAACTCAAACTAATCCACATGAAAAAAGCCAACAATCCCATATATCAATGGTCAAGAGAGATGAATAGAACCTTCCCTAAGGAAGACAGACAAATGGCTAGCAAACATGAAAAAATGCTCATCATCCCTAATTATAGAGAAATGTAAATCAAAACCACCCTGAGATATCATTTAACCCGAGCGAGAACGGTCCACATCACAAAATCTCAAAACTGCTCATGCTGGCGTGGATGTGGAGAGAAAGAAACACTCTTACACTACTGATGGTACTGCAAACTAATAGAACCTTTTTGGAAGGAAGTATGGAGAAACTTCAAAGAACTCCAGCTAGACCTCCCATTTGATCCTGTAATCCCATTACTGGGCATCTACCCAGAAGGAAAAAAATCCTTTTATCACGAGGACACTTGTACTAGACTATTTATCACAGCTCAATTTACAAATGCTTAGTAAAACATCACAAGAATGGAGAAGCATGAATCCTATGCATTCAATTTTGATATGAGGACAATTAATGACAATTAATGACATGGTGGGGGTAGGGGAAGGGGAGAGCAGAGAGAGAGAGAGAAGGAGGCAGAGAGTTGGAGGAAAGGAAATACACAGAGAGGGAAGGAGAGAGGGGGTGGGGTCTTGGTGTGTGCCCCCCCTTTTGGGGGCAAGGAACAATTGTAAGAGGGACTTTACCTAACAAATGCAATCAGTATAACCTGGTTTCTTTTACCTTCAATGAATCTCCAACAAGGAAAAAAAAAAGGAAAAAATATTAAAAAAAAGAGTAAGACCCTGTCTCTAAAACCAGCCAGATGTTGTGGTAGGCACCTATAGTCCCAGCTACTCAGGAGGCTGAGGCAAGAGGATCATTTGAGCCCAAGAGTTTGAGGTTTCTGTGAGATATGTCACCAGGGCACTCTACCAAGGGTGACAAAGTGAAACTCTGTCTGAGGGGGGAGCACTCTTAAGCTCTGGTGGGGAGTTGGCTCATTCAGAACTCTTACAATAATATGAAGATAACCCTCAGCCCCTCCCTACTAAGAAAGAAAGGGCTAAAGATTTAAATAGGAAATTCACAAAACAAGATGATGTGTGTCTAGCCAATAAGCACATGAAAAAATGATCAATATCACAAATTATCAGGAAAATCAAAATCTCAATGAAATAACATACCTCATTGCTGAATATCAATAAAGACACCTTTGAAGCACCCCCTTGGGAAACTATTCACCAATGCCAATGCCTACTCTATCCTCCAAAGACATTTTGTAACTCTTTTCCCAGAATGCCCATTACCCTACATGTCCTGAATGTCATCTAAATGTCTTCCTTTCAATATTTCTTTTCTCTTTGGGTAAAGAAAAAAGTCACTGGGGGCCAGATCAGGTGAGCAGGGAAAGTGTCCCAATATACTTATTCGTTTACTGGGCAAAAACTCCTTCACTGATGGTTTCATGTGAGCTAGTGCATAATCATGATGCAAGAGCCATGAGTTGTTGCCCAAAATTTTCAGTTAAGAATTTGCTAAGTGTTTCTTTATTAATGCTTACTTGGTCTGCTACGATTCTCATACGTAGCTGACAATTTTGACACACAATTCAATAAATTTTTGGAATGTTTTCTTTAGTTCTGCTGGTTACTGGTTGCCATGACCTTTCTTCATCTGTGACACTTTCTCTCCCCTCAGACAAATGTTTAATCCATTTGTATACTGCTGTTTTCTTCATGGTATTATCTCTATAGACTTAGACTAACATCTCCCTGATTTCACCTCTACTCTTTCAAACTTTAACAAGAAATTTATGAATATTTGTTCCTCTAATTCACAATGGTACATAAAAACACACAACAATAATGAACGCCACTCAGCAAGACACCACCACACATTGATATGAACACACCTGTGAGATACCAAGGTTATGAAACTTGATATACCAAGGTTATGAAACCTTACTGAGTTGTTCCATAGTGCTGTCAAATGTAAGCTCACAGTGGCAGGTTCACAAACTTAACTGTCAGACCTCCTACATTTACCATATAATCCAACTACTTCAATCCTAGGAATTTGCCCAAGACAAATGAACATATAAGCCCATACAGAAACTTATTCATAAATAAGGGTGACCAGTGGGGAGAAGGGCAACAATAAGAATATTTGTGGCAATGAAAATGTTCTGTATCTTGACTTTATTAATACGAATATATACTTGTGATGTTGTCTTTTAGTTCTACAAGATGTTATCATTGGGGAAACTGAGTGAAGCTACAGTTATCTCAAAATGTTAAATTAAAAAAAAAAAAAACTTCTTGTAGTCCCAGCTACTTGGGAGGCTGAAGCAAGAGAATCGCTTAAGCCCAGGAGTTGGAGGTTGCTGTGAGCTGTGTGACACCATGGCACTCTACCGAGGGCCATAATGTAAGACTCTGTCTCTACCAAAAAAAATATATATATATAAAATAAATAAATAAATAAATAACTTGTTCATAAATGTTATAGCAGTATTATTCATAGTAATTCCAAACTGAAGGCAACTCAAATGTCCACTTATTGGTGAAAGAATAAACAAACTGTGGTATATTCAATTCATGGAATACCATTCAGCAGTAAAAGGAAGCAAAATAATTAATACATACAACAACACGGATGAATCTTACAAAATAAAAGAAAGAAAGAAACCATCAAAGATTACAGACTATACACAGTAGAACCTCTGTTATTTGACCACTTAAGAGACTATAATAAATTGGTCAACATAAGGAACTAGGCCTACTGTACTGATAGGTACATACTTTACTTTCTTGTATAGCATTTATTAGAGAGTATCATACAAAATCATAATCAAAACACAGTAAAATCATACATACAGTGTCATACAAAATGAATACGTTCTTGTTTTCTCATGGTTTAATCATTCTTTCTAAAGAAAGAGTCATTCTTTTTTTTTTTGAGACAGTCTCACTTTGACACCCTAGGTAGAGTACCATGGTTTCATAGCTTATAGCAACCTCAAACTCTTGGGCTCAAGTGATCCTCTTGCTTCAGCCTCCCCAGTAGCTGGGACTACAGCTACCCACCGCAACCACAATGCCTACCTATTTTTTAGAGGGGGGCCTCACCCTTGCTCAGGCTGGTCTCAAACTCCTGAGCTCAAGCAATCGACCTGCCTTGGTCTCTCGGAGTGCTAGGATTACAGACATGAGCCACCATGCCCAGCCCTTGTTTCTTATTCTTATTACAAATGTAGAGTGGAGAAAGCACTCTCAACACTCAGCATACCTGGCATTTTTACAGAGCAAATGACTTCAACTGCATTATTAGAAGCCTGACATCCTCTTTTTTTGGAGTCTCTAAAATTTCTATGTCATCTTTACTTGCTTCTTCCACCTCATCAGCTGCTTCATGTACTTTTATGTTGGTCTATACTTCAGTCAATATTGTTTAGAAAATTGCTTCTGGGTCAGGTTCATCACAGGTTGTCACTTTATCATCCATTGCAACAAAACCCTCAAAACCTACTTCTTCAAGTTCTGCCATGGGAGATGTCTTGTCTGATGGGGCCAAAACATCATGCTCTTGGGTTGTGATAAATCCAACTTTCTTAAATCATCTGTGTATTATTTCTGGGCAAACTTTAACCCAAACAGAACTGATCCAGTGTGTTACCTGATGTAGCAGATGATGTTGCTTCCAGTGGCAGACCAGAGGTCTGTGTTTAGTAATGACCTGCTGGAGGAGCTAAGCTTGGTAGTGTATTTTAAATGTTCTGATGATGGCTTGGTCAAAAAGTTGGACCACTGGATGCTTGGAAATCTGCCAGCCCAAATTCCTATGTTAATTCTTTAGCAACTTCATGGTTCACTGGCTGGGAGACTCGCGCATTAACTACTCTCATGTAGCTTTGTTGACTTCATTGAGGGAAGTTTTCTTGCTTTTCAACCATAGGTATATACTTTCCTTACCATCTCTCTCCAAGTACTCCTGTTTACATTTTTGAATGTTGCTAACTGTGCAAAATGTTTTGCCATCTTTCTTTGGCTTCTACTTTCCAGAAAATGTAGAAGATCAACCTTTTTCTTCAACTTTGAGTTCTTCCCTTTGGGCCAACACATCTCAATTAACCGTAAAATTTTTCAGTAATTGTAGAATATACCTATAATTTAAACCAATCTTTCATGTTGAAAAAATCTTCCGCGCTACGTGATAAACAATAAGATGTTTAGATTGCCACCCAACAAATAGCAATAATAAAACATAAAAAAGGAACTTATACTAAAGAAGAAGTAATACAACTAAGGAGCAAGCCTATACCTTCTTCCCCTTGGTATAGAATAGATCTAACTGATCAAGTTACAGAGGGCAAATTAATATTATGTGTCACAGTCTAAGTGCTCAAAATATAGAAGTCAGTCTTCCACTGAGTACATGTGGAACATGTCCAGTCTATAAAAATTGTGTCAACTTAAGGAGGTGGTCAATGGAGGGAGGTGGTCTACTCTAATTCCCTTCACATAGAATATACTGATGGGGAGTCAATCAGTGATTGCCTGTAGAAGGGCTATGGGGAGAAGATCAGGTACAAAGGGCAGGAGAGAATGTTTTCTTTCATATGAGGAACTTCTACAGCTTGATTATGGTGGTGGTTACGTGATTATATATGATTATCAAAATTCACACCGCACATACATAACTAATGCATTTTATAACATTTAAGTACTTTAAAATACAAGAAAGTGAAAAAAGTAAGGTTTAGAAAATTATTACCTGTTAGTGTTTTTCCTGCATTTAGGGGAGGAGCAATGACTCTGAAAAGTTTCTGCATTAAAATAGGAAAACAATTACCATTGTCTAAAATAACATTTTTAAAAAGATAATCAAGAATTATATAGTCTCTGATGGAATAAGATAGTCGTTTGGTGTTGAGATTAAAGATAAAAGCTTTCAATGTGTACATAAATTGTTTAGAAGGGTTATTGAGAAACAGTCATTCTCATATTCCTCAATGAAAGAAACCATTTAATAAATAACCAGTTAAATAAAGGTCTTTGTTGAGACTGTAATTTCTGGCCTGAAGATTCTTAAGTTCTTAAAAGAGCTTTATTCTTAAAAAATAGTAAGCAAGTGAAAGGATGACTATTCCATCAAAGAGATTATGACAATTACATTGGAAACATTTGAACAATGAGCTGCCACAGAAAGAAACATTATCTAATCTTAAACAGTCTCCCCAAAAAATAGCTACCATGGACCTCACCCTCCTCAGAGAGAATTTTCTGTTGAGGAGTGTAAATTCAGCTGTCCATTAACATCAAAAAGCCCAAAAGAACTTCCTATACTGGGCCACTGAAGACCTAATGTTAAGCTGCTATTTAAACCCTCGCCTCTTGCTATTCAGCAGAGCTACTCAACACTGAGTCTTCCTACACACTTATGAATAAATCTTATCTTTTCTCCTTATAATCTGTCTATTGTTGACCCCCAACCTTCCTGCCCCATCCCCCCACATCTGGGACCTAAATACAGGCATACTTTTACCTCAAAAATAGCCAAAACTAGAACTAATGAAAAGATTTCAGAGGTTATAGTAGTCATATCAAAGTGATGACTGTGGGGATGGGATCCTCCCGACCCTGACAAGAGTATAGCCATCTTTGGAGGACAGCTAGTGAGAGAAAGCAGACCAGAAACCAACTGCATGGTCACAGCAACCCTGTCCCCAATTCCTGGAATACTTCAAGGCCAGTGTTCCTAGGAAACACCAGAACAAGCAATCTCCTATCCTGGTCCTGGCTGACACTAGAGATAAGACCCTGGTGAAAGATTACAATTTTATGGAAGGGAATAATTCTAAGATTGGTCCCTGACACAGCATCATTCACTCTATGGAAAAAAGATGACTTCCCTCACTCTCTACACTAATAAAAGCCTCGTGAAACTGTAAGAGCAAGGTGACTCTTGGTCAGAGTCCACAGTTTTCTTTTCTAATAAGCTTTTCCTTGCTCCCTGGACTCTGCTTCTTCTGGACCCTCACTTGGACTCTACCCCTAAACCTCTCAATGACACTCATTCTTAAAAATCTAGAAAGTTTCAAAAAGCAGGTCATCTCTTAATTCAGAACTCTTTGAGTATTAAGACAGTTAAACTTTAAACTCTGGAACGTGTTTTCCTGACAGAGATTTATAAAAGAGGAATCACAGGATACATCTTACCTCCCAGGCTAACATCTCCAAGTGAATGTTTAATAGCAAGTACTAAGCTCCTACTCAAAGCCATTAAACATGAAACCAACTCTGAATACAAACAAGCCAACCTCAATAGCCCAGTATTACATGTGACACGTACAGGTATAAATGTAAACCAGATTGTGAGGACTAAAAAACAGACAGCAAAAATTTCAAAAACACTATAATGAAAATACAGCAATCCTTTCTATTAACATAAAATGCATCAAAATAGAATCTGTTTCTGAGGGATTATTTTGAGAGAAACAAGAAATTGCATTAATTCTTCTCAACTGTGGCTTAGATGTGGCACAGAGAACATTTCTGCATGCAGAGAGGTACTGGACCTTCCTGAGGAAGCAGCTGACCAGTCCTGGTCCCTGGTGAGAAAGCAGCTGAGAGGTATTCAAGGGTAAAAAATACTTACCTGACATATAGACAATCAGGGCCCAAACCAAGGGGAGTGGGTGGGGTGCTAATTTTAGAAACTGACCAAGAGAAGAGAGGTGCAAGCCAAACTATTTACCCTCTCAGGCTTAATGTGCTTATAGAAACCTGAACTATCACAGAATGACTGCTGACTTCCTAATATTGAAGATAATTCTGGAGGGCAATGAATTTACAAAATGCTGACTGGGTACTTTCAGCGTCTGCTGGTGTGAGGCACATTAATCACTGTAGTAAATAAAGCATTGGGCTAGGAGGGCACCACATGTGTCTGCAACCCATTATCCAAAATTCTGTCCTCAAATTTAAGATAAATAGCAAGATGGATATGAGCTTTGGTTTTTCTAAAAATAAGCCCAAATGCTTTTTAGATTCTCTTGGTATGGAGAATAAAAAATTATAATTAATGCTATAAAATTGTAAATTGGGAAAAGTTCAAAGCTAACAATTACCATATAATGGCCTCCTCCCATTTTCAGGACCTTTACCCAGCCGGATAGTATCTATAATATTACTCAACAGTCCATTTATTACATACAATAATTACATGTAATACATGTCTTACACCTTTTGTAAAAGTTACCATAGTATCTAAAATTCTTAGGACAAAAATAAATGTAAAGTTTAAAAAGCAAGCTTAAGTTTACTATTATTCCTTGGTATTTAAATCCTGCTTATGTAAATAAGAAAGAAAACAATAGCAGAAGGTGTGAAATTAAAAAATACTTTAAAATCCCAAGCGCAGGCATTTAGAATGGTGCAGCGTTTGACATACTGTCACAGGCTGTCCTACAAAACAGCCTCAAACAAAACCAGGCTGTCCCAAACCTCTAGTAATAGAATTGTTTACCTTTATACCAAGAAGGTTGGGAAAGCACCAAAATCTGCAAGTGGTGTGTGCCCAGGCAGACTCCAAGGGGTTCATGCTACAAGACCTAAAGTTCTTATGAGGTTGTCTAAACCAACCAATCAAACGAAAACATGTCAGCAGGGCCTGGGGGTTCCACATGTGCTAAATGTGTTCATGACAGGAACAAGCCTGCTTTTCTTATTGAGGACCAGAAAATTGGTGTGAAAGTGTTGAAGGCACAAGCACACAGTCAGAAAGCTAAATAAGAAAATGAAGCTTTTTTGAGTAAAAAAAAAAAAAACAACCAAAGCTAAAATGGGCAAAACTCAAAAAAATATGAAAGAAATTTTAAACTGATTGGATGAAAAGAGAAACTAATTATAGCAAAAGAAGAATAGGGGAAAAATTAATAGATAATATTAAATATGTGTCGAAGTTACAAAGTATCTTACCTCCATTGGACTAATAAATTCATTCATGCCTCTGTTGTAGACATAAATCATTGCATCATATAAACGATTTTCCCAACACATAAGAACTACCTATAAAAAGGAAAAGCCACTTGATTCATACAATTTAACAAGTCTTACCAATTATTTACCTTAAGCTTTAGTAATGAAGAAGATCTTGAATTCTCTTCCCTAATTTCTCTTATTTCTTCTCTGATAAAAATCACAATTGAAGTACTCATGCACAGTGTCAGGGAAAGAAGTGTTGTAGGTTCAATGTTACTTTAATATACAATATACGATTGTATAATACTGTGGTATAACAGCAACTTAAACATCTTCCAATGTCTAATTTAGCTTCTTTTCTATCTTCCTCTTTTCAACATTAATTTTACCTCTTGTCAGTAGTTCTACAAATATTTATTGAACATGTATATTCAGGTCCTGGGAATAAAGGGATGGATAAGACAAATTCAGACCTAGTCCCTAAGGCTTGGAGAACTTACATTCATCTTGAATACTCACCAAAAGAAAGGAGCGGCACAAAATGGTACATGAGTTCAGGATTTGGAAAGACACTCAATGACACAAAAAATTGATTATTTACAAATGTGATAAGTGTTGTAAACCTGACTTGATCTGGAATATTCACAAAATCATCCCTGAGGGAGAGTAACATTTAGTCTAAGACCTAAAGGATGGACAGATGAGAGCCAAAAGCAGAAGTGGAAACTAGGGATTTTGCATGCTGTGAGTATGAGGGTGAAAGTAAGCTTGAAGTGTTTAAGGATGGAAAGAAATCAATTTGAGAAAATATTTAAGAATAGTACTAGATATGAACATATAGAACACTATTCTGTCCATATGAGAGCTATATAATACTACAGAGTGGCCAGAGGGCCAAAGGAGAACAGAAGTCAGCAAAAGAAAACAGCAAGAAGTCAGAGAGGTAAAAGATAAAATGGAAGCAGTGTCTTGGGAGAGTCTTTCTGGGGAAGGCATGTTATGGGACCTCGTCGCTCCTCTCTCTGCCCTCTCTCAGCCAGTGCCATGTCTTTCTTCAGTGATGACCAACACAGTAGTCATCAGTGACCAGCTTATAGCTAACCCCTGAACTCCTTTCCAAGCACTTACTAATACCTTCACACATGAAACTAACTCAAAATAAAATGGCAATCTAGAACTCCTAATTTCTGTCTTTCAAACATAGACCTGCCTTTTCTTAAAATTTTCTTAAAAGAATCACTATCCACCCTGTTTCTCAAACTAAAAAATATATACATCATCTTCAGCTTCTCTCATGGCAACAGCCTCACATATGATCCATTAGCAATTGAATTCTATCTACAAAACATCCAAAATCAGGCCATCTCTATCTCACTGCTATTGTCTCTGGCTGGAATAGTCTCCTGGACCAGCCTCCTACCTAGTCTCTTTGCTCTCTCTGTAGTTGCCCCCTATCCTTCATTTCGCTGCCCCTAAGGCAAACCAGAATGTTCTTGCTTAAACTTTCTAATGATTTTTCATAGTACTTTCACTCACACGGAAAATTTTGTATCTTGTCCTGAAGATCCCTTCTCTCTTGCACCAAGCTCCAGATCTGCTTCCCTTTTTCCTGTTACTTGCATGCCCACGGCATAACTCTTTTTTCACATTACCTCTTGCTTTTACCTACAACAATCTTTTCTTCCAAGATCTTTGCATTATGGATCCCTTCACATCATTCCAATTCCAATACTCAATATTCCCTCCACAGAAAGGCTTTCTATAATTAGGCAATCAAAGGCAGCCTCTCATTCTCCACCATATTGCCCTGTTTGACTTAAACCTACCATTTGTTTTTGGATCATTTTCTGGTTTGTTTACATTTATCTGTTTGCTGTCAAACTTTTTTGCCTAAATTTGAGCATTAAGAGAAGAGAAGCCTTGTTCACCCAGGATACTGAAGCATCTTTAGAGCCTGAGACTGAATAAAGAATCTTGAATTAATAAACAAATTTTGCTAAAAGAATAAAGATCAAAATAAAAATATAATTTGATATAGAGTCCATTGCTGATTCTAGCAAAATACTGAAGAATTATTAGAAGGTAAAAAATAAAAATATCAATCTAGACAACGCTGTCAAGAAATCTGGCTGTGACCAGGATGAGTGAGATGGGGCAGCGACCTACAGAGAAGAAGCGGAGAAAGACTGATTCAGAGACATGAGAAGCTGAGGGGAGGACTTTTTAATTGTTGTTTTAATAGAAAGAAAGACTAGAGCAGCGGTTCTCAACCTTCCTAATGTGGCAGTGTATTTTCATTATCACAAAAGGGCTGTGACCCACAGGTTGAGAACCACTGGACTACAGCATATTTACATGGTATTGGGGAAAATCTGAAAATGTTTTGGAAAGAGAAGAAATTAAAAATTTATCCTATACATGATGGGTAAGTAAAGCTAGATTGATAACAAAATCAAATCTTTGGACCTATTGTGACTTTGATGACTATTAAAAGCTTCCAAAAAATAATGACCATTTTTCCAAACTCTTCATTTCTATGTGATTTTGTACTTTTTTGGCCTAAGGCCTTTGTAAGTCACCCACATTCAAGCTCAACAGGGTTTAGCACCTTTGCTGATTATTAAGACTAACGTGAAATTAAAGAATTAAATTACGAAATGTCTTAGGCCAATATGGATACTGTTCCTCAATTAAGCACTGAAACTCATTGTGGGGATTGTAGATAAAGGTATTTTATAAAAAGTCCTATAATTTGCCTCTTATACCATGTTTTGTTGAAATACTCAACTCTGGACTTATATACTAGCTCTTATAAAAAAAAAAATGGCATCATACCCTTTCAAGGTATATTGTATTATTCATGTGAAAGTACCCATAGATGAAATTCACTTGCTGGATGAAAACTGCATTAGTAAACAAACATAATGATTAAGAAGGATCAGTCAATGAGAATCTATTGAGCAACTACTAAATGCAAACTCTGTGCCAAGAGCTCTATGGAATGTTAAAGAAATAGAAGACAAGCTTCCTGGCTTGTAGGCATTTATAATCTAGCTTTTACTTAGGTAAATGTCTAAGAAATATACTGATAAATTATAAGCTTACAAAGACATCTTACCAAAAATGCTCAATAAATAATTAGAAATTTTAGAAAGCAGAGTGAGGCCTGATCAACCAGGTAAATATAACCAATAAATACATAATGTTTATTTTATAAGTTAGTAGACTGTCAATAAACTCACCTGCTGAATATCTAGGCTGGTAATATCCATATGTACAATAAGGGCTTCCACATTTTCCATTAACTTCTTATCTTGGAAATGAACAAGCAAGTCTTTCATTACCTGGGGTGTGATACCCATCAATTTATCACTTAAAATATATGGCTCAAGGCACTCCAAAAACACTCCTTTGGCCACTGAATTCTCACTTAATTTGTCATACACCTGGCTAAATAAGAGATCCCTATAACAGAAAGGGAAAAAATACTTTTAGGAACATTTCAAGTATCCATTAAATGCAGTCTGCTAAATGTATCTCTCATCATTTCCGTATTTCAACTTATTTGTGGGTTTACTAAAACAGTAACCATATTTGCATAGAGCTTTATATTACAAAAATCTTTTACATACATTGTTTCAATTAATCTTCCTAATACTTCTTTTACAAATAAGCAAGTTAAATCGTTTGTTAAAAGTTTATACAATGAACAAATAAGAGTCAGGATTTAAACCTAGCCTTCTGGCCTAGATCCTATGCTCAGTCTATTATAGCATACTGCTTCTTAAACACAACACTGACCTGGCAGCAAGTCACAGGATAACATAATAAAGTAGGAAAAAAATAGCACAAAGGACCACTCATAATTTATTCTTTCCCTCTTCTTGGTATCTAAATATTCCTAGCTGACCTGCAGACCAATATGGTTCTTTTTTTTTTTTTTTTTTTGAGACAGAGCCTCAAGCTGTCCCCCTGGGTAGAGTGCCGTGGCATTACAGCTCACAGCAACCTCCAACTCCTGGGCTCAAGCGAGTCTCCTGCCTCCGCCTCCCAAGTAGCTGGGATCACAGGCGCCCGCCACAACGCCCGGCTATTTTTTTTTTTTTTTGGTTGCAGCCGTCATTGTTGTTTTGGCGGGTCCGGGCTGGGGATTCAAACTCGCCACCAAAGATGTACGTGGCTGGCGCCTTAGCCGGTTGAGCTATAGGTGCCGAGCCCCAATATGGTTCTTTACCTAACTCTAAACCTTTGCTTCATAAAAGGTTTGGGCAGTGATTATCAGTAGGAAAAGTTGGGGGGGGGGATGTTTAATATTTAAAATATATACCTAGAAACAATTCCATTACAGAAACAAAAATTTTTAAAAATTACTCTAAATGTCAACACTCAACAAGTTTTATTTATTTCATATTACTTACGTAAAGAATCCACAAGTAATTTGAGTTATACTGAGCACAGATACAATTCTGAATTCTATTTTCATGCAACATTATATGAGAAGCACTATTCAAAGTTGCTATATTATATACTCTTTAAAATTACTATCTTGTCTAATTTACAATACTTCACTATGCTGAAACATCAGAATTTACTTCATCCTTGTATAATGTCAGATGTATCACTTATTTCCCCACTGAATGATGCTGCAATGAACGTCTACATATACATCCTTTCTCATTTAAGGAGCTTAATCCCTTAGTTGTTGGACTTTTAGAACTTTATCATAAAAGACAGAAAAATGTTCTGGCATTTGAAATATATTACTAAATTATCTTCAAAAGCATCACAGCACCAATTTATATTGCTGCCAGCAATTTATAATCATACCAGTTTCACCAATTATGAGTTTGTTGATCTCCCCCTAATAATTTAATAAGTACAAATTCAACAACGTAATTGTTTTCAATTCTTCGTTGACTGGCAAAATCGAATACAGGCAGTCCCTGCCTTACAAACAAGATAGGTTCTATAGGTTTGTTCTTAAGTTGAATCTGTATGTAAGTTGGAAAAGGTGAATTAACCTATTACCGTAATAGCCTCCATTCGTAAGTGCAAGCTGTGTGTCAGTCAGATATTTGTAACTCGGGGACTTACTGCAATAGCCTCCATAAACACGAGCTGTATGTATGTTGGATGTTTATAACTCAGGGACTGTTCACATTTTCCATGTTTCCATTTATAAATGATATTCCCTTGTATCATTCATTTCTTTCTTCATTCCATTTTTTAAATATAAAAGCTGTGTTAATTTTTTTTGCCCATTAGGATTTTTTTTTTTTTTTTGCTAAATGTATCTTTTTTTTTATTGTATGTCATGTCAATTATGCAAAGTGGTAGACAGTGTGGTCTTTTATAACAAGTTCCACACAAAGGTCACAGAGGTTCTTGAAAGGAGTGGGATGGGGTTTTTGCCTTGTCTGAAGTCCTGGAATGGAACAGGTGGAAAACAGACCCACTACAACTGCACTAGAACCACATGTCACCTTGCAGTAAACAACATTTGCAATATCCTGGGGAAAATCCATATCCAATTTTTTCCTCAAATGCACAAATGTAATTTTGCATCACTTTCCTCTCCACTTCATATTTTTCAGAGTATTTTTTGTGTTAATTTCATTTCAATCAATAGTTCATCATATTTTTGTGATTACTAATTACTAGCCAAGCAAAAATAACCAATATTAATGAAGTTTTAGTGTAAGAAAGGAAAGTAAGAGTAACAATACACACTATCTGAGTAAGGGGCACACATAACTTTGACTCAAACTATAAAAAGTAATTCATGTGGCTGGGGGCAGTGGCTCACGCCTATAATCCTAGCACTCTGGACGGCTGAGTGAGGCCCAAGAGCTGGAGGTTGCTGTAAGCTATGATGCCACAGCACCCTACCCAGGGTGACAGCTTGAGACTCTTATTACCCCCCCCCCAAAAAAGTAATTCACGTAACCAACACATTTGAACCCCTGGTAATATGTGTTTTCTGAAATTTTTTTTAAAGTAAGACTATCAAAATAACTCTAATGAACTGAAAGAAAATGTCATATTTGCTAGCCCTCGCACATTGTAATGTGGTGTTAAAAATAACACGCTGGCTCGGCGCCTATGGCTCAACCGGCTAAGGCGCCAGCCACGTACACCTAAGGTGGCGGGTTCGAGTCCCCAGCCCGGACCCGCCAAACAACGATGACGGCTGCAACCAAAGAATAGCCGGGCGTTGTGGCGGGCGCCTGTGGTCCCAGCTACTTGGGAGGCGGAGGCAGGAGACTCGCTTGAGCCCAGGAGTTGGAGGTT